CACTCTGAGTCTCTCGTGTGTGCTGGACTTGCAACTCCAAATCTGCAATCCTCGCAAGCAGCTGCTCGTCATCTTTCCTTTCCAATCTACTTCCTGCTCGTTCGTCGCGCTCTCTTTCTGCACGCACTTTCTCCTCGTGCTTCTCGATACGCTCCTCTACGTAAGTACGCAATGCCTCTCCAGTGTAGCCATAAGCTTGACCATTTGCGATCAGCGTCGCTTCTACCTCATCCATGTTCACGCGTCTCTATCCTGGCGTGGTCGCCAAAAATGTTGTGTTCACTACTAACACCTCAAAAGTTTCAGGATCGCACAGACGCCACAAGACAAAAGGTCACGTAATTCTTTACGGACTATAATGAATGAACAGTAGAATACATTGAGAAGAAGAGACTGGAAAAATACGAACTACATCGGAAAGAGAACTCTAGAACACTAAAGAAAAACAAACCACAGCATCAAGGAAAAGAACAACGCATGAGGGGTAAAGCGCTGGCCAGCCACAACGTGCGTCCAACTTTGGCATGAGCGTACAGAAGAGCGTACAGCGCTCGGAAAGCGGAAGCTAAATTTGGCGGCAAAGCGACAGCAATAGTACGGCGCGCGGCACATAAGCAGTACGAGGCGAGGCACGTATACGCGTGTGCGGCAAACATTACACACCATGTACCATATATGCATGAACAGCGCGGGGCGCATACTAACTCATTCAACATCAGTGCGCGGCGCAGGCATCTAGCTAGCTGGCGCAAGCATGATCATAATTGCATGCCATCACGCAATCAGCGCACATAAATCGCGCATCAAATAAATAAGTAATCACACAAATCAACACATCAACTAAATAAATCAACGAGCTAGCAAGAACACAATTCAAAAATGCAACGAAGAAATAATTACTATTCTAGTCGGTTATTCGCATGGGACCAAGCGCAATGTCCAAGCTGATGAACTGTGATTGCACCAGGTAAGCCCAAGCTCCTGAGCTAACCGTTCTGGTGTGCAGTCTTCTTCGTGCTGCAAACACACACTACACAATGTGTCGTATCTCGTAACAAGTACTGTACCAAATCACAACGAACACTAACAATACGCAATAGTAAACAATAATCAAAAACACTACGCACAAAAGCAAAGCAAGCAGCACCTAGCCAGGGAGACAAGCAGGAGTCACGGTCGCAACGAGATCTCGACGACACCCCAGAAGACCTTTCTCCGACACGATACACAACAGTCGATGATACCCGCATTTTTCGCGCCTTCGTCCGTGACACTTTGCTTCTGCAACCACACCAGGACATGTTCAAATCCGGCCACTGCAAGTGGAATTTCTTCACCTCCAAGATTCCTCGTTGTGAAGTAATCGCCATTAGGATCTGCGCCTGCGGCAAGCACCAACGCCAACGTGTCCCTGTGCCCCTTTGCTGATGCCCAGCTGAACTGTCCTCGATACTCTGTTTATCATCACGCATGCTTTAGTTCTCATTTGTTTTACTTTGCTCTTTGGTTTACGGTTACTAGTACTGGCGGGATGCCATAAGTTCACCTCCCCTCCCCCGTGCACTTCGTTGTTAACCTGGATTATTCGTGAATAAATGTAGTGATCCTTATAAACACCGGCCGACACCGATCCTCATTGCCCTGGGCATTTCCCCATGGGGAAGGGTGGGTTACAGTGTGTGCATGGTCTCACCTTGGGCTTGCACCCGAGTGAGCGGGGCTTGGTAGAGATAGTCTGCAATTAAATCTGCTTGGTCAGCTGGATGCATATTGGTACAGGGTGTACTAGAGGATGAGTATCTGTACAACTGTGTAGGCGCCTACATTGTGCTCTGTGAGATTTCAGATTGCCCCACTACACCCGTTTTCCTGAAGGTACGCCTGGCGTACTGTGCGTTGACGAAGGAATCCCAGTATAACTGTCTTACTGGAAGAATGCATTGTGCATTGCGTGATGGCGGAGGATTCCCAGTATAACTGTCTTACTGGAAGAGTGCATTGAGCATTACGTGATGGCGGAGGATTCCCAGTATAATTGTCTTACTGGAAGAGTGCATTGCGCACTGCGAGACGGCGGAGGGTTCCCAGTATAACTGTCTTACTGGAAGAGTGCATCGCGCACTGCGGGACGGCGGAGGATTCCCAGTATAACTGTCTTACTGGAAGAGTGCATTGTGCGCTGCGAGATGACGGTGGAGGCCCGGTATAATTGTCTTACCGGAAGAGTGCATTGCGCACTGCCAGACGGCGGAGCATGCCCAGCATAACTGTCGTCCTGGACGGGTGCATTGTGCACCGGTACGAGACCGGCCGAGTGACACTTTATCTGCCTATTGCATAAGCTCATTGTCTGTTTGTTTAGGCCGGGTGGCGACCGTTAACGGTCGTTAATTGGGTTTCTAGTAATCTGTATGCAGTGCATTGGGGAACGGGGGGTTATCCCCCTTTCTTGTTACGGCCTGGCCGATACTGTGCAAGGTTCCCATTGCAGTCGCCACTCCCACAGGGAGCCTTGACCACCTGATTTTCCGGGGCGCTGTCTGGCTACTGCCTATGGTTGCTTCACATATTTCTTGCACCCTGGCGTCTAACCTCACTGTACTGTGTGCTTCTCCGGTGTTCTCTCTCTCTCTATCTGTCTTCCTGCTGTTCTCCCTCTGCCTCTCCCGCTGTTGTATCTTTTGCTCCAGAGTTCTTTCAGCACGGACCCTGGGAGGATTGTTTCCGCTCAACCCACCCAGAGCTGCAGCGGCTCGCATCGATGGTTCCGGCATTCGCGCTTGCTGATCGCGCGAGCTCTACAATTAAGAAGTACTCTGGCGCATTGGGCCGTTATGCGGACTGGGCATCTCACTACGATCTACCCGTCCTTCCTGTCAGGCCCGCCGACCTGGTTCTGTATATGATGCATCTTCTACAATCCGGGCACACTGTGTCCCCGATCGTTTCCGCCATGAGTGCTATCAATTGGGCACACGAGAAGGCAGGATTTGACCCAGTCACTAGCTCCCCGATCGTGTCACAGGTCTACCTCGGCTGCCAGCGACTCCTCGCGACGCCTGCCTCGAAGAAGCAGCCACTGTCACCCGACATGGTCAAGTCCCTGGTCAACCAGTTTCTGACACCTGATGTCGACTTGGACACCCTCCAGACCCTCACCCTCATTGTGGTGGGCTTCTCTTCGTTCCTGCGCTGGGACGAACTGCATCAGATCCGGGTTCACCAGATTACTTTCACGTCCACTCACGCCGCTATATTCGTGCCGCGTCGCAAGAACGATCAGCTACGCGAGGGGCATGAGGTACTGATTGCCCGCTCCCCATCAGAGTACTGCCCGGTCAGCCTCCTCAGCCGGTTCATTCGCCAGGGCCGCCACAGCGAGAACCAATTTCTGTTTGGTAAAATATCTCGCGGTTCGCGGTCGCCCGATCAAATTCGCAACACGCCGATGTCGTACTCCCGGGCTTTGGAGAAGGTGCGGCTGCTGCTCCAGGGAATTGGCCAGGACCCTGCCCGCTTCGGTCTCCACAGCCTCTGGTCTGGTGGCGCTTCAGCTGCGGCCGTAGCTGGAGTTCCGGATAGGCTCTTCAAGCTGCACGGCGGTTGGAGGAGTGATGCCGCCAAAGATGGCTATGTGGAGGATTCCACTGAGCACCGTCTTCTGGTCTCCCAGTCCCTCGGACTCTGAACTCTTTGTTTCCATTGTGCTCTGTAGCATGTCTCTCGTTCTCTCTTTTGTCCATCCTCCTACCTTCTCCCTCCCTCCGCTGCTGTTCTTACCGCGCTTTGCTTTTTCTGAGTCACATCTGGCTGCGGCCTACTACCCTCACTCTGTGTGCTCCTGTCTCTGTTGTCTGGGTCCATGTCGTTATGTCGGTGTATGTGGAGCGAGAAGTTTTATTTCTCGCCGGCCGAGCGGAGCGAGTGAGGCGAGAAATGATTTCTCATGCAACAAAATTATTTGTCTTGCGAATATGGAATCTGATGTTTTCGCTTTTTGTTGCTGTTCTTTTTGCCTGACTCCTTCAGTCAGTTTTTTGTGTCTCACCAGTGTCCCCACCCTCCCACCCTTCATGTCTGCCCATCTTCTTCCATTTCTTTCTTGGCTGTAGATATGTTGTGCCTGTTTTTATGCTGCCAGGTTGCCACTTGGGGTTATACACCCGGTTTTTTCCCTCATTCCTGCGTCCATCGGCGCGAGGGTTTTTTCCCGGCTGGCTCGGTCCAGAGAAATTAATCTGACGATCCCAAGTGGTGCTTGTCCTGGCTTATTATGTTAGATGAATGTGCTAATTCCTTCCTCTTGGGGTCTGTCCCCCTCTTGTTGCTCCTAGTTTTCTTCTGCATTCCGGTTCACATCTGGCTGCGGCCTACTACCCTCACTCTGTGTGCTCCTGTCTCTGTTGTCTGGGTCCATGTCGTTATGTCGGTGTATGTGGAGCGAGAAACATACATACATACATACATACACAAAGTCCGAAAATTCAATTCACTGAAACCATGTTACCCTCGTCCCAGGTCATAAGTTCCCAATAAACCATGGGTCTGGGCACAGTTTGGAACCCCTTAGACATGTACTTCCAAACAACACCTGAACCTTGTACCCTCTATTTCTCAGTCATGGCCGTAAACCGTCTCTGTATGCCTTCCTGGATTGGACGCTTTGCAGTGATGCAAAATAGTTATGCTCCTGCAGTTCAAATCTAGTGTACTCAAGTTAAACTGATGAGGGATGCATTCCTCTAAACATCGTGCATTCAGCAGGGAATACTTCTTTCTCAGAGGTTTGCACAGTGGAATTGAAGGGGCAATGGGCTTCTTGTTGCTTCGGATGGCAATCATGGGTCAGTCAGTTGTCAGGACAGAAACGCGTCAACCCCCAAGTAGGGTGCACCGCACACTTCCGGACTTGACTATAAAAAATGTTGTCAATATTGCCGCCTTCCACATAGCGGGAGCTTTTAATATTACGGTTTTATACTTCAACAGTGGTATCTCACCTCCAGCAGTAGTCCTTCTGGATTGCGGGGCAATGAAGTTGGTGACGCTATTTCTGTGGAGGGTATCTATGGCTGTAGCTGTGCGGCGGGTATTCATGGCTGAACCACACCTGTCCATTGGCACCACAGCGATATCCTCATTCAGCTGGCACGCCAGCTTCTCCATGGCACACTGGCTCCGATAAAGCTCCCGGCCCAAGCTACTCTCACCGCATACAGATCCATTGCCCGCAGGACAGTCACGTGTGCAGCTGCAACGTTCTAATCCCGTGGCTGGGTTAGTCTCGCAATGACCATGGCGGTGGCAGTTCAGTGATTTGCATAGTTCTGCAGATAAACAAGACATCAACCAGTATCTACATTATGCTTGGCTTGCAAGGCAAAATCAAACTGTGAATAGTTACATGCACATACACATCAGTCAGAACAACTCGCAGTTTGACGCTGGGCCATCATTATGATAATACATTATACCATTAAAGGAGGAAACCTGCTCTTATATCTATTGTGAGGGCAGTCAGTGGTTGGTAAAGGTATGGTGGTATGGACTAGTTAGGCGGTGAATGTCGGTGTTGTCGGTGTTGTTGTTGTTGTTGTTTGAATTCTTTATTCTCACGATGGCACCATCGCCAATAAGAGATAAATTGATGAGAAGGTGAGATTGTGGGTTAAACAGTTGGAAAGTGATTTACATCACTTTGAACTTTACAAGTATGGGAGAGGGTGAGCGCTGCAGGAGCAGATTGAGTTAATCAGCTAGTTTGGAGTTGACAGGAGGGCATGCACATCGAAACCACGCCTTGTCAACGACCCGTTCTTGCTCAGTTTTAACGACCACACTCAGCAAAGAACAAAACAACAACGAAACACAACGACACACCAACGCTGATGTGGCATCGCAAATCCCGTACCGTGCACGCAGGCACTGGGTTGCAACAGAAAAAAGACGCGCTGCAAGCGTGCCAAGCAGCGAGTGAGTACAGAACGCGTACTAATGCCAGTCATGGCAACGGCAGATAAAATTATGGAGATCGACCCGCGCATGGTTCGATCGAGAGCAGAGTACGAAAAAGGCACACATTCAAACTGTGAAGAAGCAGAAGAGGAAAAACGAAAATGAACACTTGTGTCGTGAAGTGCTTCTGTCCAAGGGTGCTCGCACCCGACGGGGTGACAGCGCCCCTAGTCAGACAAATACAAGGCAAACGAAATAGAAATTAGCTGAGTCACAGCGCGGGACTCCGAAACGAAAACCGGTGAGTATGTTAATATTAATTGTTCGTACCTGCTGTACAACGTAACAATTGCTCAAATTCATAACGTAATTTCAAACTAGCACTCGTAGAATTGTAGTGCGAATGTGCCACTCGATTATAGTAACAACGACAAAGAGATACTCTTCTAAACATCAGCAGTGAGCAGATTTCTTGTTTGAAAGCAGGTCGGGAGGAGACGTCACGAATGCTAGCAGGGAGGGCATTGTAGTATTCTAGGGACTTGTACAGTGGGGAGTCTTTACAGCGATCGGTTCTGGAGGTTGTTGTTGTTGTTTGAATTCTTTATTCTCACGATGGCACCATCGCCAATAAGAGATAAATTGATGAGAAGGTGAGATTGTGGGTTAAACAGTTGGAAAGTGATTTACATCACTTTGAACTTTACAAGTATGGGAGAGGGTGAGCGCTGCAGGAGCAGATTGAGTTATTTAGCAGTGAGCAGATTTCTTGTTTGAAAGCAGGTCGGGAGGAGACGTCACGAATGCTAGCAGGGAGGGCATTGTAGTATTCTAGGGACTTGTACAGTGGGGAGTCTTTACAGCGATCGGTTCTGGAGGGTGGGAGGTGCCAAGTGCATGCGTGTCGAAGGCTGTACTGGGCCGTAACTTGAGCGGGGGTGTTGAGCAAGCGTATGTGTTGTGGGGCATATTGGTATTTTATGGAGTGAGCAAGAAGGGTGAGCTTCACTTTGCGGCGAGAGAACATTGTCGGCCATTTGAGCCGATGGAGCAGTGTTGAATGATCCAGAGGAGTGTAAAGGGGGAGACGGAGGCAGATTCTGGCCGCCTTGCGCTGGATTCGCTCAAGACGGTCAAGGGCTGCGATTGAGAGCGGGGTGACAGCAATGCATGCATATTCAATTATAGGCAGGATATACGTTTTGTAAATGAGAGAGAGTGATTGTTGTTTGAATTCTTTATTCTCACGATGGCACCATCGCCAATAAGAGATAAATTGATGAGAAGGTGAGATTGTGGGTTAAACAGTTGGAAAGTGATTTACATCACTTTGAACTTTACAAGTATGGGAGAGGGTGAGCGCTGCAGGAGCAGATTGAGTTAATCAGCAGTGAGCAGATTTCTTGTTTGAAAGCAGGTCGGGAGGAGATGTCACGAATGCTAGCAGGGAGGGCATTGTAGTATTCTAGGGACTTGTACAGTGGGGAGTCTTTACAGCGATCGGTTCTGGAGGTTGTTGTTGTTGTTGTTGTTGTTGTTGTTGTTTTCTAATTTGGATTCGCGAATCAAACGGGAAAATGTGTCCAATGACAGGAAAGTGGATATGGAAAGGAAAAAGCGAGAGACAATAATACTACTGAAGCATAATGCTTAGCAAAAGGAAACACTTCAGGTTCTTGAACAAGATTTTGAAACCTTCTCGTCAAGTGCAATACAAGGCAGAGCATATGAACAAGGACATGTCGACAGTGGATTGCACAACACACACATTCCACGTGACAACATAGGGCAACCAAAGACTACTTGCACTCCCATCCTTTTCATTTGGCTGACCCGTGCAGCTCTATCTTTTGTTTTTGGTGCGTGTTTTGGGCCGTGATGCCGAGACCTCAGGTCGGCAGAGCCATCAATGCCCCACCATCACTGCTGCGCCATCTCGGCGCAGCTCCTGCTCAGCAGTCGTCACGTTTGTCCCAGTCCTAGTACCATTGTCTTTCATGTTTATTAATTTTTAGTGTTGGGTATGTGAACATAGTAAAGAAAAAACTAAAACTAAAATTTAAAAAACTCCGGGTACAAGATGGTCAAATATGCCGGCATCAACATCAAACAGCGTGTGCAACTCGTCACCAAGTCTGTGAGCCGTTTGACTGCAAGCCGTGATACTGGACGCATACCATCGACAGTGTTTATTGACCTTAGCAAGGCCGTTGACTGCGTGCGACTCAACAATGACTCCTCGCGCGATTGCCCCATCAGCGAATGATGATTGGTGGAACAGTGCTTGCATGGCTCGCTTCCTATCTTTTCGCTTGTTGCTAGATGGTTGGTATGCCAAAAGATTTTTTTCCAAGGTCCACCCACTGTCAAGCTTGGGGTTCTGAAGGGTACGGTGTTGGGCGCTATTCCTGTTTTCAATTGTTTACATGAGCCATCTCCACGCCATATCTGACACCTTTGCCTGTTCTCGTTTGTTGTTTGATTTTATTCATTTCGCAGTGACCAAGCGGGCAGACGTACTCAATAACAAGGAAACGAATGAAGGTGCCAATAAATATGAGGGGACTTTTAAATTTATAAAAGCCAATAAGTACGAGGGGACTTATAATTAATCTCGGATGGTCAGCCAATTTAATCATGATAGAAAAGGACATGGACAAAATGTTACGAGTTATGACTAACTGTCCACCAACGTAACCAGATCTTATACAGTCAGCGAGTGCAACAAAAAGGCCACAAAACTGACAAAGAAACTGGAACTAGGCTGAATTAAGCTGTACTGTGTGACTCGTAGTTTCATGTCAATGGAAGCCGCACTTTTGGATAGGGGTGAAACAATTACTTGTACTTCGAAGTATACCGAAGAATACTCGAGTACTCGCTCGGTTTTTTGAAAACTAATCGTACTCGGAATAAATACAGAATACTCGTCCATACCTAGTATATGCATTTAGCACAGAAATCTGCAGTTTCATAGCAGCAGTCAGCAGAAATCTGCAGTTTCAGAGCAGCAGTCAGCAGATATTGAGGTGCAGACTGTGTGGTGAACATTTGTTCACGAGTAGAGAGAGCCCAAATGACCCACCAACCAATATACCCGAGAAAAATGTCTGCTGCTCGGTTCAATCAGGGTTGTATCATGTGATTTTTTAAGGCCCTTGGTGTGCAATGTTTAGGAGATGAAGAATACTCGAATACTCGAATATTCAATCGGAGAAAATCAAGAGTACTCGAACTCGGGATCTCAGTGCCAACTTTCACCCCTACTTTTGGAAGCATAAAATCGCACATAAGCCGCCCTGGTATAGTAGCCACGGCTTCAAAATGCGACACTAGGCGCACTACGAGTCCTAGTTTAGTAGATCGTGCAGGCTATACTAGAGCCACTGTCGCATGTATAAGCCACTTGTGCATGCGAACTCATGACGTAGATCAGATGTCAAAAGAAATGTGTAGAAAAAAGATGAGTGAACAAACCCGATTGTGCTGAAATGGCTTGTGATGCCGGTGATATTGGGGATACCGGTGATATTGGGGATACCGGTGATAGCAGTTATTGGGGATACCGGTGATATTGGGGATACCGGTGATATTGGGGATACCGGCATTCGACAAGCCAGAATACTGGAACTACAATTCACACATGAGCCTGTCTTTTGTAGAAGCCTGTCTCATATAGAAGCCTGCGAAATTTCCCCAAAAAAGTCGTAAAAGCCGCGGCTTTTGTACGATACATGTACATGTATTTCGCGAATCCCCAAACTGGAGTTTCTTCCCGGCAGCAAGTGAAAAGATTTCGATCTGAAATGTATGTGCGTGCTCGTGTGGAAAAGGTCTTCAAGGCGAAACTGGCCCTGCTGATGGAGCAGGCCCGAATAAGGAAACCATTTCACACATATTCGAATGAAAGTGATTCAGCATGGCAACAACTTCGGTTTTGCTGCACTTTGCGCTTTCAATTCCTTAGTTTCGATTTTATGTGTATTTTGAGTGGGAACAATGGCGACTGTATGCTAAACTCACCACTCCTGCAGGTGCCCATATT